TATATTTTTTAATTGTAATACTCAAAGTTGTTTTGGACTCAATTGTGCAGTAAAATGTCATGTATAATTACATGTGTAAATCCCCTTGAATATAAACAAATTAAGTTTGGTGTGCTTAAGAAAGATTGTTCACAACATTACTTGGTTCGTTCAAGTTGTTTTAAACCTGAATGAGTTTCTTTCTTCTGTTGAACATTAATGTTATTTTGAAGAATGTGGGTAACCAAACAGCTGCAGGTCCCCAGTCACTTTCACAGTATTTTTCCCTCTAGCATTAAAGCCAATGGGGACCAGTAACTGTTTGGTTACCCACATTCTTCAGAATTTCTTTTGTGTTCAGCACAAGAAAGAAATTAATACAGGTTTGGGACAACTCGTGAGTAAATAATGACAGAATTAACATTTTTGGGTGAACTATCCCTTTAATGACAAGTGGCAGCATGTTTTACTATTGTCTGCTGTGCACACATCTATTTACAAGCACTTTTCCTCTCAACTGTTTACTTTCACTTTAGACATAACCAGCTGTGTTTATATGTAAACCGTGTGTGTTTTTGACAGTATTAGGCTAGCGCAACCAGATGCGAAAGACAACTTCCAGTAACGTTAATCAGGCGCTGTTTGACAGGCTTTTTAGCTTGCTTGTGCTTTAGGTGTACGCGCTCAGAACAGCACGCAAATGAAATGTTTAACCGGCAAGGCTTTAAAGCACATGTAAATAATGTACTTTTGTGATTGCGAATAAGTGTAGTGTCCCGTGAGTGTAACTACCGCTGAGTTAACATTTGATGTGAATGTGTGTCGCTTTGTACAGAGACGGAGGCGCCAGAACTGCAACTGATAGAATTTGCGCTGTAAAGTTCTCCTGTGTTGGAAATTAGCATTTTCTCACAACTTTAGTCCACACAAAACTTGTATTTGGAACAATCGTTTTATTTTGCACCATAACAAATCTTTATTTTATGAAAACTGGTTTCAATATAAAAAAAAATTCCCTATTGGACATGATGGACAACTATGGTAATGTTCTCAATTACAATGATTTTTCTTTAAAACATGGATTTGTATGTCATCCTAAAGAGATTTACAATGTTGTAAATGCCATACCAAAAAACATGGTATTATTAGTAAAAGGGATTCTTTCACATTACTCTGTGACATTCTCTCTCCAATCTCCTTGTCTGGGTCAATTGTTTATTAGAGATCATAAATGTAACAACAAATATATTAGAAGTGTTCATCCAAATAGAATTAAACGATATTATGTTTTCAAAGATTTTAACCCCAAAGAGGTGAAGGAAATGAGAATGAGTTATCTTACCTTTCCAAGTCTCCCTAAAGTGAAAGAACTTCATTTTAAAATAATAAATGTCATATACCCATCTAAAGAATTTCTCAAATCAAAATTTGATATTGGAGAAAACTCTTGTCAATTCTGTGAAATTGATATTGAAACCACTGAACATATATTTTTTAATTGTAATACTCAAAGTTGTTTTGGACTCAATTGTGCAGTAAAATGTCATGTATAATTACATGTGTAAATCCCCTTGAATATAAACAAATTAAGTTTGGTGTGCTTAAGAAAGATTGTTCACAACATTACTTGGTTAACAACCTTTTTGAAGTTGCTAAATACTTTCTAAAAGATTTCTGAAAACCCCTCCATCCTTTCCTCACTTTTCTAATGAACTTACTTTAAAACATGGATTTGTATGTCATCCTAAAGAGATTTACAATGTTGTAAATGCCATACCAAAAAACATGGTATTATTAGTAAAAGGGATTCTTTCACATTACTCTGTGACATTCTCTCTCCCATCTCCTTGTCTGGGTCAATTGTTTATTAGAGATCATAAATGTAACAACAAATATATTAGAAGTGTCTTCATTGATAAACTTCATCCAAATAGAATTAAACGATATTATATTTTCAAAATACAACCATTAACATAAAAAAGATAAACAATAATGCATTATGGCAGTGTTTTTTTGTTTTTTAATTTAAAAAAAAAAAAAAAATTTAAATCTTGCATTATGGCAGTGTTTTTTTTTTATTTTTTTTATTAAGTACAAAATCTGAATACAACAAACTGGCATTAATTAGTATACAACAAAAATTCTGGTATGGAAGGCTCAACACAATAGAATCATAATAAGCTCCAGACAAATCATATAACAAAACATTCCAAGAAACATATTTACCCAGTCCTCATAAAACAGGGATTTGTTTCTGTGAAGAATATATTTGTTATTCCATATAGGAGTATTGTGGGGTGTAAAATTGTGTGTGTGTGCCAATTTCCAGCATAATAAGACTTGTTGGTGGAATGCTGATAGCTTCACTGGAAGTTTGGATAAAGCAAAGTCACATTTGAGAAGGAAGCGGATACCACCCAATTTACGAAACAAACATTATGGCAGTGGTATGACGACGATACAGACCTTGCTATCGACATTCTACTGCGACAAAAAAAAAAAAATCTACTGCGACAGTAAAATGAAAGAGCAAGGGTCGCACATTATATGCGTCATTTGTTGTGTGGTCAATAATGGCGGCGGAAAGCACAGAGGACCTGGGCAACAACGCGGAACTCACAAACCCTTCAGGTTTCCCTTTAAACGTTACCTAGTTATTTTTACAAGCCAAGAGAGAGATGCAGGAGATGACATGGTGATAGTATATGAGCAGAGTTTGAGTAACATTAGTTGCGTCTTTCTCAAAGCTCTGTCTGGCAAAATTCAACAAATTCGGCAAGTGTTCTCCTTAACATGTTATTCTTGTAAATGTTATTATTAGGGATGCACCGATGTATCGCCCGCCGATATTTATCGGCCGATTTTTCCTCAATTTACAACCATCAGCATATTGGCTATATAAGGAAAAAGACCGATATAACAAACCGATGGTTTAATTAACTGCGTAAAGGCACTGAGCTGTATAATGTCTGCTGCATAATCCTAGCGTTGCTGTGTGCACTTTAATGCTAATCAAATAACAAAAGACAAAAGATCGCACACTATTCTTAACTAAATAACTTTTGTAACTTTAATAAGTGTAGCGGACCTCATCTGAATGACCAAAACTTGACTGATGTTTTATTAAGTTTATTGCATCCTTTTTCACTCCAAAAAAAATCACCATAAGGGCTAAACAAAACATAGCACGGGAAAGTGCACATTAAACTCTCTCTCTCTCAGTTGCATTATCGTCAACATACAGCGAATTACACAAAACACTTATTACAACTAACAGTAAACAAATATATACAGATCTCATGACTTTTCGGGGGGTGCTTAATAAACTGGCAAACTTTAAATTAGAAGAACTGCGTGCTTTCATTACCCATATAGCTCCGTAGACTAGACTTATTTTTACAAGCCAAGAGAGAGATGCAGGAGATGACATGGTGATAGTATATGAGCAGAGTTTGAGTAACATTAGTTGCGTCTTTCTCAAAGCTCTGTCTGGCAAAATTCGGCAAGTGTTCTCCTTAACATGTTATTCTTGTAAATGTTATTATTAGGGATGCACCGATGTATCGCCCGCCGATATTTATCGGCCGATTTTTCCTCAATTTACAACCATCGGCATATTGGCTATATAAGGAAAAAGACCGATATAACAAACCGATGGTTTAATTAACTGCGTAAAGGCACTGAGCTGTATAATGTCTGCTGCATAATCCTAGTGTTGCTGTGTGCACTTTAATGCTAATCAAATAACAAAAGACAAAAGATCGCACACTATTCTTAACTAAATAACTTTTGTAACTTTAATAAGTGTAGCGGACCTCATCTGAATGACCAAAACTTGACTGATGTTTTATTAAGTTTATTGCATCCTTTTTCACTCCAAAAAACTGAATGTTAAATGGATCCAATCCATGTTCATTAGAAATTATTCGATGATGCAGCAATAAAACTGCTAGTATAATTTAATGCAGGTGTTTTTGAACTTTGCTGATTTAAAACATGATCAAAATACTATCTATTTTGATGCCAAAATTTCAAATAAGAGAGGAAGTGACAAATATCGGTATCGGAATCGACCAATAAGTGTTTGTTAAAATCGGTATCGGCCCCAAAAAATCCTATCGGTGCATCCCTAGTTATTATCCTTAACATTTACAGCGAAGATGGACAATTAAGGCTGGAATACACTGCACAATTGTTGCTCGGATTTTTGGCCCAGTTAACAGACTGTGCAAGTTGACACTAGTTGCCGAAATTTAGAACAGTCTTCAGATTTGAGTTGACAGATTTCATAGGAAATCACGTAGTGTATAATGGGCCTTTTTTTTTGCTTCAGACTATGTATTCGTCCTGTCAGAGCCAGAGAATATCAAACGTGCTTGATATTTTTAAATCAATTTTAGAACACACATTGTTTTCATTTGTCATGTTTCTGCATTAGTTTGTTGTGTTCAGAACAACCTGAAAGTCTGGTAGTCGGTTATCCTCAATCATTTAGTGTAGGATGCCCAGTTTTCCTCTGTAATCATTTACAGGTTGGCAAATAAATGATGCCTAGTGTTTTACAATCTGTTCAAATTTGAAAAGTTGTGAGTGTATTCCAGCCTTTAGGTAAAGCTTATCTAAAGGAAATTGTGATCATCTTTTTTTTTTTATCCCTGTTGTGTGACGTTTATCCAAGTGAAATGGCTTTTTAAACAAGAAAAAATACAGGGGGGGGGACTTATTTTGTCCATCTGGAATTGATTAGATCATTGTCATGTGCTAATTGCTGCATTCTCATGTGAGTGACTTGGTTGCTTGAGGTCACATGTCATCAGAAAAAAGCTGTGCAAGGGGGCGGGGATGTTAATGTTTTGTTAATGTCCATGTATATATTAAAAAATTAATATATACATGGATAAGTTATTTAAAATAAACATTGCAGTATTTAATAAAAAATAAGAGTGGTCAAATTTGATTTCATGGGAACTTATTACCATGCTTTGCAGCAATAAAACATAAAAAAAAAACAACACAGCATGAAAAGTAATGTCCTGTCCTCTCCTTAGTGTGTTTGAGGAGGCATTTGCAGCCGCTGGCTGGGACTTCCATTCAGACAGGCTGTGGGATCTGTACGCCGAGTGGGAGAAGGAGCAGGGCAACCTGAAGTTCACGACTGACGTCTACGACCGAGTACTGAGGGTCCCCACACAGCTCTACAACACACATTATGAAAAGTACTCTATGCTCATGAATCATATGTTATATGTGATAACATAATTTTGTTCCTCGCACAACTCCTCAGATTTGAGGCACACAATCCACTAGGGATGCACGATATATCGGCCACCATATCGGTATCGGCCGATAAATGCTCATTTTTTCTGTTATCGGTATCGGCCTGATAAGAAAATTTGGCCGATATCTTAAAGCCGATAAATAATGCATTATTTCCTTCAGAGACACTTCAGATGCGCGCTGTTCGTTTGCAGCCTTTTGTGCAATTGTATGTTGTAATATTGTGTTTATTTGATGTATATCTGATTTATCTCATATAGAATGCGTTTGGTTAAGTTAAAAAGAGCGCTTCAGTTTACCGGTGATCATCTTTAGCTCAGCACACGCAGCCCAAACAGCAGTGCACAACATTAATAACTATGATTGGGAATGTCGTGTATATAACATTCTAATGAGAACATTATTATAATAAAACGTTGTGAATTCTTTGGGTTTAGTTGCCGTGTTTCAGCGCGTTGTTATGGGAAGAGCGCATCCACAACAGGATCACACATTCTGACTATAGCATGCAATAACTGCGTCATTTGTCATTTCATATATAAGTTGTAATATTATGTTTATGTTGTATTAATATTAATCTCAGGATGCATTTCCTTGAGTTAAATAAGCTGCCAGCAAAACGCTTCAGTTTACCGTGTTCATTCAGCTCTTCAGCTTCAGCACGTGCAGCTCAACGGCTGCTATTTAAAACAGTGGTATTAATTTGTTACTTTTTCAAAATCATTGATATATTATTAATAACAACAACCACTTGTATTGTTCTCTTATTATTTTCATCAACAGTATGGTTTAGTAATTAAAATCATTTAATTATTGTCCGTGCAGAGGCTATTCCGTTTTATTGATCTATGGCGCATTCATTTTGATTCTTTACATGTGTAATGATGTCCAGTGACTTGTTTGCATTATTTATGCATTATTTTATTTATTTGTAAGACTTTTTTATGACTAAATTTGGTAATGGGAGAGTAAAAATATTTTTAAAACGTACACCGTTCAAACTAGGCTGCTTATGTTGGTGTTTGGGATGTGGCTTTTAATGATGAGACCTTTTTTGTAATCAGGCTCTCAAAAAGTATATAACAATTTGGATATAGATTTATCGGCCAACATATCGGTTATCGGCTTTCAAAAATAAAGAATAATCGGTTATCGGTATCGGCCAAAATTTTCATATTGGTGCATCCCTACAATCCACATACCACAAACACACACGCATGGATTTGTGAGAATTTTTTTTTACCATTTCTTCTCAAGCTCATATTCTGTGATCTCTTTCCCCCTTTATATTTAGATGCAGCTGAATGCATCAACAAAAGCCTAATTGGTAAACTGTCAAACACTTGCAGTTAAACACTTCAAATCCAGATCACCAAAATATCACAAAAATTATTTTGCTTTCAGAGTCCATAAAAATCATGATGACCCTTACGTTGAACAAGGCTGATGCTCTCTGAATTTCTGTCTCTTCTCTCAGACTGAAAACTCACCTAACCTCCCACCCACCTCAGGACGTCCTGTCCCCTGAGGAGTACAGTAAGGTGAGGAATGAGTACAAACCGAGCCAGATTCAAGCCAAAAAAGAGAGATCTGATATCTGCGCTGAGGAAGAAGAGAGACCACCAGGGGAGGAAGAGCCTGCAGACAATGGCAAGGACTCGGTAACTCACTTTTTCATCTGTAATAGAAGTTTTCTTCAACTGGTGTGATATTCTAGAGATGATCAATTTAATCGTTAATATATTTTTATGCAGGAAGAAGCTGTGCAGAAGATGCAGGAGCTTCTGCTGGTCAACAGAGAGGAAGTGTACCAACAAAATGAAGCAGAAGTCAGGAAGAGATGGAACTTTGAGGATGCTGTATGTTCTGAACTGTTTCTCAGAAAGATGCTTCATAGTGCATCAGGAAACACTTATGTTTTCTATAAAAAAAATAACTGACTAACCAGACTTGAAAATCTTGCTAACTCATACTTCAAATGTGTATGGATTGTGTATGAAGTTTTTCTGTCAATTCACCTTCCTGTTGCTTGATTCCTTCTCTCCTTTTTTCCCAGATTAAAAGACCTTATTTCCATGTGAAGCCTCTGGATAGAGCCCAGCTGAAAGCCTGGCAGAGCTATCTGGACTGGGAGATTTCAGAAGCAGAAACAGCGGCGCCTTTGGAAGGCTATGAAGGCTCAAAACAAGAGTGTGTAGCTGGGCACAAGAGAGTACTGATTCTGTTTGAACGCTGTCTCATTGCTTGTGCACTCTATGAGGAATTCTGGAATAAAGTAAGTAGAAGGGAGATCCAACAACCTGTTCTTAAAGATCACAATAGCTGCGTTTCCACTGTCGGGTCAAAACGGGTGTGCTAGTGCGTGCCGGTGCTAGTCGCGTTTCCACTGTCACTTCCGGGGTTTGACTGTGCCTCGTCGGGGCTTCCTAGGGGCCAACAGCCAGGGTTTTAGGCCAAAAGGACCTTAGGCCAAAGCAGGCCAGCTCGGGCTTGAGGAGTGGTCATGAACAAAGGCAGAGTTTCTCCAAGTCTGGAGAGTGCTAGCGCCGCGGATCATTTCATATAGTTAACAGCTATAACACCAGCATTAAAGACTTTTAAAATAATTTTAGCTCAAAACTCAATTTCAGACAGCAGCGAGTGTTTGAAATAACTTCTGTTTGAGATCCGATGTGGATTATGATCATCATACAAGGCAGAAATATTTATATGTGATGCAAAAGACTATGCACGCTAGCCATTACCATAGTAAACATGGTAAATATGACCGCTTGAAGAAAGCAGACAAATCATATAGGCTATCACAATCATGTATTTATTAAGTTACATATTTTATCTGTCAGTAAGTATAGTCTCTTTATACCTGACTGTCTGATGTTCATATTTAGCTCCACGCATGTCATAAAATATATCATAATCATAGTTTTTGTTCAGGAGCTCCCTCTGTGTGACTAATTTTGATCAATTATGATCAATGTATCACTTATTATTGTAAAACTGGTCAAACGTAGATGCTTTAACGACAAAAAATGCAAACAAATGGCCACTTTTATCATGTTCGTTTTGTGATCTCGCTTGTTCCAGTGATTTATTTCTGATTAGTTTTCTGATAAGCCTTCTCTTTGTTGGTGAAATGATGAGGTTGCGTGACGTTGTTCCAGAGAGGTGTGTAAAGGGCGGGTTTTATTGAAGCGCTGCGGAGCTTCTGGCCCAACGGTGGAAACGCAGCGTGAACCCAGCCCCCCCGGCCCATTGAAAGCACTGGCTCGACAGTGGAAAAGCAGCTATTGATCGGTTTATATGCATTTTGTAAGCTATTTATGTGTGTTACAGTATGTGCATTACCTGGCACCACACGGGCTGGAGGAGGTGCGTAATGTGTACCGCAGAGCTTGTGAAATCCATCTTCCGTACAAACACAGCATCCACCTTCAGTGGGCCTCGTTTGAGGAAAAACATGGTGAGACAGTAAGTTTAGCATAGAAAAAATAGACTAGCCTAAGATATGAAACATATTTCATAGAAATGTGGTTTAGCTACTGCTGGAAGTGTACATTAGATTCTCACATTTTGTTTCTTTTCCTTCCCATAGGTATTATATCAGAGGCACAGCATATTCTAGAATCACTTGAGATGACAGTGCCTGGTTTGGCTGCGGTGCGTCTGAGGAGAGTAGGTCTGGAGCGGAGAGCAGGACGTTTGGATGTGGCGGAGGCACTGCTGAAGGAGACGGTGGAGCAGAGTAAAGACAGTCCCCCACTCCATGCCTTCTACTCCATCAAACTGGCTCGCTTTCTTCACAAGCTGTGCAAGAACCCTGCCAGGGCCCGCACTGTTCTTCAGGAAGCCATAGAGCTGAGTCCGGTAAAACACCAGCGTTTGACATTTGATAAACACTACCATTCAAAAGTTTGGCGTCAGTAAGATAAAAAAAAGAATACTTTTATTTAGCAGGGATGCATTAATTGATCAAAAGTGACAGTAAAGACATTTATAATGTTACAAAACATTTCTGTTTCAAATAAATGCTGTTCTTTATTCATGAAATAATCACTGTTTCCACAAAAATATTAAGCAGCATAACAGTTTTTGTTCAGGAGCTCCCTCTGTGTGACTAATTTTGATCAATTATGATCAATGTATCACTTATTATTGTAAAACTGGTCAAACGTAGATGCTTTAACGACAAAAAATGCAAACAAATGGCCACTTTTATCATGTTCGTTTTGTGATCTCGCTTGTTCCAGTGATTTATTTCTGATTAGTTTTCTGATAAGCCTTCTCTTTGTTGGTGAAATGATGAGGTTGCGTGACGTTGTTCCAGAGAGGTGTGTAAAGGGCGGGTTTTATTGAAGCACTGCGGAGCTTCTGGCCCAACGGTGGAAACGCAGCGTGAACCCAGCCCCCCCGGCCCATTGAAAGCACTGGCTCGACAGTGGAAAAGCAGCTATTGATCGGTTTATATGCATTTTGTAAGCTATTTATGTGTGTAAAAATATCACATAAATTATCACACAGACGGCTCCACCCACAATGCCTCACGTTCCCATGACAACACCACCTCCCTCTATGATGGGCGGAGACATGAGTGGATCATACGGGAGCTATGGCAGCTGGTACCAGGTAAAGGATTGAATGAGCACATTAACGTATATTGTTAAAGCACTGCATTTACCCAGCAGGAGGCAATTAAAGCTTTAAAAGATTAAATGCAATGCATCTTGATTTAAAATGTGTATTATATACAAATATTGTCCCTGTGTCTCAGCAGCAACAGTATGAAGGGTATGGCAGCTACCAGAACCCGTGGAACCAGTACAATCAATACTACCCTCCCAGCTAAGTCCCTTCAAAAACAGAGGTCTGGGATGCTGCTTCATGTGATCCACTCACACATCCTCAATCCTCCAAAAGCCGTTGATAAACACTACCATTCAAAAGTTTGGCGTCAGTAAGATAAAAAAAAGAATACTTTTATTTAGCAGGGATGCATTAATTGATCAAAAGTGACAGTAAAGACATTTATAATGTTACAAAACATTTCTGTTTCAAATAAATGCTGTTCTTTATTCATGAAATAATCACTGTTTCCACAAAAATATTAAGCAGCATAACTGTTTTCAACAACAACAATAATAATAATAAGAAATGATTTCTGAAGGATCAAGTGACACTGAGAACTGGACTAATGGCTGCTGAAAATTCAGCTTTGCCATCACAGGAATAAATTACATTTTAAAATATATATAAAGAAAAGTTATTTTATATTTTAATAAAATTTTACAATATTACTGTTTTTACTGTATCTTTGATTAAGTAAAAGCAGTCTTGGTGAGCGTGAGACACTTCTTTCAAAAACATTCAAAAAAATTATAATGACCCCTTTTGAATGGTATTACTGAAAATTATCACAATACATTGCACCACAATACCAATATTTCATGACTCTGGGATTCGGATCCTCAGGATAATGGTAGATTGTATCAGAACCTTCTGGAGCTGGAGATGTCAGGTGACCTGCAGACTAATGGAGGTGGGATTCTACAGTGTGTGGCCAAAGCTCTTGCTGCTCCTCTCTCCCCAAAAACCAAAATCCTTTTCTCACAACGTGGCCTGCAATTTGCTGAGGACTTTGGGAGCACAGTACAGAGGTCAGAATTAATTCAGATCATTGTGGAAGTAGCTTCAGCACAAGTGATGAAACATGTTTATTATGATAAATTACAAATGTATTATTATTGTTATAATTTTTATTCACTACATTCTATTTTTCCCTGTGTCGATTCAGCATTACTAGGTTTACTTAAATGTTTCTTAATGTTTTTCTTGTATGTTATCAGTGTGTTGAGCATGTATGAGGAGCACCAGAAGCTGCTGAAGGAACATGATGCAAAGAGACAAGCAGAGAATAGGTGAGCTCAAAAAACACACAGGGATCTCCATTTTACATTCAGTTGTGAATGCTTTTTGAAAGTGTGCTTGCGTTTTTCCTTAAGCGATAATGATGATCCAGAAAAGATGAGCAAAATGGATGATGCATCTGCCTTGACGGCACCACAGACGGCTCCACCCACAATGCCTCACGTTCCCATGACAACACCACCTCCCTCTATGATGGGCGGAGACATGAGTGGATCATACGGGAGCTATGGCAGCTGGTACCAGGTAAAGGATTGAATGAGCACATTAACGTATATTGTTAAAGCACTGCATTTACCCAGTAGGAGGCAATTAAAGCTTTAAAAGATTAAACTCATGATTCAGTGCATCATGATTTAAAATGTGTATTGTATACAAATATTGTCCCTGTGTCTCAGCAGCAACAGTATGGAGGGTATGGCAGCTACCAAAACCCATGGAACCAGTACAATCAGTACTACCCTACCAGTTAAATCCCTTCAAAGATGGAGGTCTGGGGTGCTGCTTCATGTGAGCCACTCATATATCCTCAATCCTCCAAAAGCCACAGCAGTGCGTAACTTGAGCCAGTGTCAAAAGCGTGAGGGATAAATGTACAAATCTATTATGATGTTTTTAAAAGATGTTATCCTCTTTCCCTGAATTTTTGGTACTAAGTGCCACCTTACAACCTAAAATGCATTTGTAGATAGATATAGATATAGATATATACCTGTTCATGCTTGGTTTTGAAGTAATTTATCTGTGAATTGTCAAATTTATTGACTTCCTGAAATGTATTGTGAACATTTTTCTGTTGACCATTTTGTACCAATTATTTTAAAATGTTTAAATTTAGGTTTATTCTGTGCAGTCACCATCTTATAAGTTTAATAAAATATAATGCATACAAAACATGTTTTTTAAAATTCAGATATGTTGTAATAAATGTAGTTTTTACTTAATTGACTTTTCATAGATGAAAGAGACTTTCATTGTCATCTTGTATTTTATATATTTTTTCCATTTAAAAAAAAAGTGTTTTTAATGTTTCACATCTGTGGTTCTCAGCCAGGGGCCTTACTTTTTTATATTAAAATATTATTAATATATAACTAATATTAAGTGTATTATTAATGTGTATATAAACAATCTGTGTGCATTTATCAAAAGGTTAGGAACCACTGCTTTAAATAGTAAAGGTAATTTGCTATGATTGTCCAATTCTGATATTCAATTCAGATAATCACTGATGTGTTTTTTAAAGATTTTTAAACCCTTTTTCAAACATGAATATTACAATTTGGTATAGCACAATTCTTGATATTGACTATTTTAAGAGCTAAAAGTCACTGTATATGCAATATTTAGAAGCTTCTGCTTTAATTACAGATTTTGCCTTTACTTCCAAAGCCAATATAAAATTCAAATCATAAAACTAAGATGAGTAAGATACATTTTATTGTTGAAAATGTCTTTTTTCCATGTGGCAAAACAGAAAGGTAACACCACCTTCTCAATGTTCATCATTGTGAAAACTCACGTGACCCTTTATTAAGCAATATCAACAGGTTTACGTTTAATTAAATTATTGATCAATTCACTGCATTGCATGTTTGGCGCTTTAAGTGAAGAAATTGCAGTCCACTGATTCATAGTCTCCATAGAGAAATCCTTATGAACTTGCATTGACGTCTGGAAGAACAGCTTGTTTCTATAATTGTTTCGCTTCATTTCTTGGTGACGACAAGGACGGCAGAAGGCACCAAACCTGTCAAGTAAAACAAAAGATCCATAAATGCCAGATGTTAAGCACTTAAGTCTGAAGATAAAAAAGCTAAGGTTAATTCCTCAAGAGACAAAGAACTGATCATTTTAGTTCTATATCACTAATCAATATCAACCTTATTTAACCCTTGCGTGGTCCTTATTTGTGAACCACACTCATGTTCCTTAGTCAAAAGTGACTGGACACCTGACATGTAACTTTTTTTTCTTCAGTAAAATCAAAGTAATATATTTTTGTTTAATATTTTTTATTTTGCATTTTGAGAGAATTTTATGGTACTAATTAATATTTCTGCAATTATACATTTTTCCCCCATTGAAAACAATACAAAATCTTTTTTTTTGCATATTTTAAAAATATATACTGTATTTTTTTTCAGATTAGCGCCATCTGGTTATAAGAAAAAGTAAAAACATGTAAGGTCATGGTGTAACCACTAGGTTCCAGTATAGCTCTCTATAGAGCAGCTTGTGAATTGCCTAGTTGTTTTTAGACATATTTTTATTAGATGGAAGATTTTAATATACATTTAAAATCTCAAAGACTACTTTTGTCAAGTTTTAGATATTTTTTGTTAGAAATAGTGATTTGAAGTGTTAGTTTTTGCATTATGATTACAGTCAATCCTGAACATTGTGTTAGAAAGAGAACACAAAGCATTTTGTTACCCATTTTTTGATTCAGAATTTAATTTAAAAAATGCAATTCATTCAATCATAAGGCTTTATGAAAACATTTTTAAAGGGGTCATATGATGCAATTTAAATTTTTCCTTTCTCTTCGGAGTGTTACAAGCTCTTGGTGCATAAAGAAGATCTGTAAAGTTGCAAAGACTAAAGTCTCAAATCCAAAGAGATATTCTTTATAAAAGTTAAGAGTCAGCCACACCTACCAAAAACGGCTCGTTCTAATGCCCCCACACACCTATGTCACTATCTGGGAAGATTTGCATAACGCCGCCCAAATGTTCACGCAAAGAAAGGCGGCGTAACTTTTATTCTCGCTGTAGTATTTTTGTTGCCGCTGCCATGTCGTGAAGGCGCTGTGTGCTTCGTTGTGAAAGTGAAACTACTTAGTTTGGCCTTCCAAAAGAGGACGATATCTGCTTCATCATGCCTAGAGCTGATCCGTGCTGATCGCTGAGGAAATACTTCAACTTTGCGCTGTGGATCGCCGGATCGGCTTTCACCGTGGACGAAGCGGAGTCCAGCCCGGGGTCGTCACATGTGGTTTGAATCCGCCGGCCTCCGCTCACTCTAGCCGCCGGCCATTTCTCACTCTAGCCCCCGGCCTCTGCTCATTCTAGGCCGCCGCCGCCGCTCGCTCTAGACCTCCAGCCGTTCCTCACTCTAGCCCCAGGCCTCTGCTAACTCAAGGCCGCCGTGTGTGACGCTGTGTTTCATTGTGAAAGCGAAACTACTTTGTTTGGCCTTCCAAAAATTGACACGACTAGAAATCAGTGGTTAAGTTGTATTTACAACACTGTTCCAGAACAGTTCAACCCAAATATTCAGATGTGTGCAGCGCATTTTATGGAGGACCGTTTCCGACCGTGTAGAGTAGCACTTGTTGTTTGTCATTTCTTCGAACACAAATGCAGACATGGTTTTACGTTTACGCGCCGCGATGTAACGCAACGCGTAAAAAGACAGTATAAGTCATTATAATCAGTAATTATGTCCCCACTGGATGCAACAAATGCCTCGTTTATAATGGGTTTTCATGTTTTTGAATCATTGCTCCGGCCTGACAGGGCATCACAGTATGGTAAGGGGCGTAACATTTCCGTCACACGCTTGAGCTATTCGGCCAATCACAACGCACTGGATAGCTGGCCAATCATATCACACCTCGCTTTTTTAGAACGATGAGCTTTGTAAAAATCGACGCGTTTCAGAAAGGCAGGGCATAGAGGAGAAACAATAATGTACAGTATGTGGAAAATAATGTTTTTTTTTTACCTTAAACCACATAAACACATTACATCAAATACACAAAATAATGTTCTTTTTAGCAACGTCATATGACCCCTTTAAATGAACGTCTATTTTTTTGTTACTGTTACAGACACCAGTTCATAGGTATGCGTGTGTGAGTGGGGTTTATTTTTATTTTTTTAGTTCCTCCCCTTCACTCTTGTGGAGTTTTACATTGACTGAATTATTACATTTATTTCACAAATTCTGAAACTTTTACAGTTACAGTTGCACCAATTCATGGGGGGGAAGAGAATCGTTTTTTTTATTGACCATTTAGCATGTTCGAATCCTGCCCTCAATTTTGTGTGTTCACATAGCAGGTGAAATATAAGTCAACAGATTTCATGCCATTCCAATTTCCGCTGAAGATTTTTTAAATTTCAAAACGTAAAATTGTTCAGTCTAGTGACCCAAGAATGCAAGAGGGATAAGTTGTCTCACCCAGCTCACACAGGGGTTTTTCCATGTCTAGATCTGTGTACACACGTCTGGGATATGGGGTAATGAGGTTGAAATCCTGTCCGTTTGCCCCATTCATCTGAACATAGACTCTTACAGCAGCCAGAGGTTCCTGAGCCTTGAAGACCGTGCTCAAGGTGGATCCATCTAGAAGACGCACCTAATGACCAAAGTAGGGTGAGTTGTTTAAAAAAATGTATATACATTTATGGAATCATTCATCTTTAAATACCTTAAAGTCCAATTTTAAATCTTTTCCATCTGCTCAATTCAACATCATTCTGGAATCGAAGGACTACTTGAACACTGACTAATCCGTTAAGAGTGAAAGGTGGCATCATTTTGTGGCAGTACCTGTATCCGACAGTCATCGTAGTCTTTCTTAGGAGGAGAAGCCTCTTGGTTCTCAGGTGGACACTGCAGAGGGGCTTCAGAGGGGTGAGATGACAAACCCGTGCTTGATGAACCACCTCCAAACTGCAGAGGTTTTTGTTATTTATTATTTATATTCTTGATATACTAGTAGGCACATAAGATATAATAGTAATGTGAACTGGGCAAAGTAAAAACTTCTTAATTATCTAAGCTAACAGAGTGCGTTAAAAATTTTCAAGATTGGATGACCAATAATTTTCTCCTATTAAATTCAGATAAAAAGAGATATTATTTATTGGACCAAAAAAACAGTACACAGAATCTCTTGGATTACAATTTGCATCTAGACTAGAGGGATGTACTGTTACTTACTCAACAGTCAAAAACTTGGGTGTTATATTAGACAGCAACTTGTCTTTTGAGCCAAGCATTCACGTAATGTATCTCATAACTTGTACTCAAGTTATATCTGATCAAATGCACATTCTCATTTTTTGCTTGGTTTGAACAGCAGCTACGCTAATTTTTCTCTATTTGCTTCTCTGTTTCTGCCACGGGAAGGGAATCCCGAGGTAACTAGGAATTACACAAACTTCAGTCTGGATCCAACCCTTACGAATATCTGAGATGACCGAACACCTGAGAAGAGATGATGCCAACCCCTCAGAGGACCTCAGATGACGCCAACCCTGAACCAACATACAAACCTACCAAATTTTCTTATAAGTTTGATAACAACATACAATCATTGCTTTTAATTGTGTTCACCATTTCTTTGAATACATGTCATTAACTAACATTTTTGTACATTTCTGCCATATGGACATCACCTCGACATAGTCACCACTGATAAGCTACTCCTAAATGTAATGTAGAAACTTTCATTTTCTGTGAAGCTGCTTTGCAACGATTTGTATCGTGAAAAGCGCTATACAAATAAACTTGAATTGAATTAAAAGCATTAATACCTTTCGTGCCCTCTCCTCTCTGTCTCGTGCAATCTTTTCTTTAACTCGCTGCCTGAGAAAGGATCAAAGGTTATTACTAGTGGTTCTCAACTAGGAGGCCCCAAAATGACTTACAATAAGATATCAAATATTGTTTATATAGAATGACATAAAATGAGCATTAAAATAAGCCAAAAAAGGAAAGAAAAGGTATTTCTTGTTTATTTATTTTTTGTCCTATGAAGAACCAATTACTTTAAAAAATCCCAACTTTTTTAATTTCAAAAGAATAATTTCTAGACCCAGAAATGTAATGTTAAATGAATAAAACTCTTAACTCCATGG